AAAAAAAAAAAAACAGGAGTTGTAACTTTCGTCTCTGACAAACTAGACTTTAATAGTAACAAAGACTAAAAGAAACAAAGAAGGACATTACATAATGGTAAAAGGATCAAAGTAACAACAGGACTCAATGATCATAAATATATATGCACCTAATATAGGAGCACCCACATACATAAGACAAGCTCTTAATGACTTATAAAGAGACTTAGACTCCCACACAATAATAATGGGAGACTTCAACATTAATATTAGACAGATCAATGAGACAGAAAATTAACAAGGATATCCAGGACTTGAACTCAGATCCGGAACAAGTAAACTTAATAAACATTTATAGAACGCTCCACTTTAAATACACAAAATACACACTCTTATCAGTACCGAATCACACCTACTCACAGGTTTAAATGAAATATTGGTTGGCTGCTTGTTTGTTATTTTCTTCCCTCATTTAAAAAATTTTTTTTCCCTATTTCCATTATTAAGCATAAAAGAGGTTTTTAATACCCATTTTTAGACTGCATTCTACCCCGGGCAATAAAGCAACACTTCCGTTCTCTCTCCCTCTTCCTCTTTCTTCCTCTCCTTCATTTTTTAAATTATTATTATTTTTTCTTTTTTCTTTCTTTCTTTCTTTAAAAAAAAAATATATATATATATATATATATATGGCACAGTGGCTCATGCCTGTAATCCCAGCACTTTGGGAGGCCAAGGCGGGCAAATCACCTGAGGCCAGGAGTTTGAGACCAGCTTGGCCAACGTGGCAAAATCCTGTCTCTACCAAAAATACAAAAATTAGCCTGTCGGCTGGGCATGGCAGTTCACACCTGTAATCCCAGCACTTTGGGAGGCCAAGGCAGGCGGATCACCTGAGGTCAGGAGTTCAAGACCAGCTTGGCCAACATGGTGAAACCCCATCTCTACTAAAAACAAAAAAAAAAATTATCAGGGCATAGTGGCAGGCACCTGTAATCCCAGCTACTCTGGAGGCTGAGGCAGGAGAATCGCTTGAACCCGGGAGGCAGAGGCTGCAGTGAGCTGAGATTGTGCCACTGCACTCCAGCCTGGGTGACAGAGTGAGACTGTGTCACACACACACACAAAAAATACACACACACACATATGTAGTGGCGCAGTCTTGGGTCACTGCAGCCTCTGCCTCCCAGGTTCAAGTGATTCTCCTGCCTCAGCCTCCCAAGTAGCTGGAATCACAGGCGCGGGCCACCACGCTTGGCTAATTTTGTATTTTAAGTAGAGATGGGGTTTCACCATGTTGCCCAGGCTGGTTTTGAACTCCTGACCTCGGGTAATCCGCCTGCCTCAGCCTCCCAAAGTGCTGGGATTACAGGCATGAGCCACCACGCCTTGCCCTCATTTATTTTTCATTTTTTTTAATGGCTAAGGGAGTACATTGCATAGTATGTGTTTTTTTTAACTGCAATTTAAATTTTTAAAAGATTAAGAACCCGTAATAGAAGAAAATTGTGACAACGAGGTGGCCAGTGTGTGAGGACTATACAAACACCAAGATGGAATTTGGCATTAAGGGCTTATGGGCAGTCTTGGAGAGAGCCATTTGAGCAAAAAGGTGGGGAAAGAAGCCAGAACTCAGGGGATTAGAGAAAGCTCCTGTGACACTGGAGGGAGGTGGGGGCAGCCAGAATGGACCTGCTCCCGTGTTTGGTGGTACCAGGAAAGAGAGACATGAATGGACAGAGTTTGGGAAAAGATTATTGTTTTGTTGTTATTGTTGTTGTTTTTAAAGATGGGGTTTCACCATGTTGGTCAGGCTGATCTTGAACTCCCAGCCTCAGGTGATCCGCCCCTCTGGGCCTCCAAAGTGCTTGGATTACAGGCGTGAGCCACCACGCCCAGCCTGTTTTGTTGTGTTTTTATGTAGAGAACACCTGATCACACCTGTAGGGGGGAGGGGGAGATGAAAGATGAGGAAGTGGGTAATGCCAGCGGGGATGCTGGGGTTCAGATGCTGAGAGAACAGATCCCTAGAAGTGATGGGGGCACAGATGTGCTGATTAGTCTTGGTGGAAGAGGGACCTGTGCCTTTGTAACAGAGGGGAGAGGGGGAAGGTGGTGTGGAGGTGTGGACAGAGCATCATCAGATATGGAGAAGGATGTGGCCAGGGTGGGGGTGGATGCACAGTCTTTCTATAAATTTGTCTACCAAGAGTTGAAGCCAACTGCTGCAGTGAGGAATCAGGCTGAGCTGGAGTCACGAGAAGTGTGGGAGAGCTGTGGACAGCAACTGTGGGGGCCGCAGCAGGGGAGTCAGTGAGGGATGAGGTGTCGCCTGTCTAGCAGACAGATACAAGCTGAGCCTGGTCAACACTAACCTGTGGTTGGCCCAAAAGGCAAAGTTTTCGGCACCCTCCAGCAATGCTCAGAGTGGAGGAAAGGGCTGTGGTCTGGTTCTGGGTGGGGAGCTGGCAGGGCAGAGGACGTAGTCTGGAGTCACAGAGAACAATTCCCCCACAAACCTAGTCCTCCTCCCCACTGATGTGCTTGGACGGCTTGCTCCCTCGACATCCCAGCAATTCTCTGCCGGAGCACTCTGCTCCAACAAACACAGCACCCATCATACATAAGCTTTGTATTTTTAATAAAAAATAAACAGTCTCTGACAAGCAGTTTTCTGAATCCCAAAACAAAGGAAAAGGGAGGGGGAGAGGTCAAGGGATCAGGTAGGGTAAAGGAGTGAACAAGGCTCAGATTACCCCTGCCATTCTGCCAGCGCAGAAGGGATCACAGTCTGCCCCAACTGAAGCAAGAAGGAAGGTGGTCAGACTTCAGGAAAGACTTCCTGGGAATCAGTGGTGCATGACCGGTAAGGGAAGCAAGAAGGAGCAGCTCCCGGCACGACCCTGGGAGAAGGGAGTATTGGTGTCCAAAGTGGCAGCTTCAGAGCGGAGTTTCCAGGAGTGGCCTATTAGCATATGGTTCTTTAGATGTTTGGTTTTTATTACCATTGGGTCCTGGGGCAGGCAGGCTTTTTAGGGTCTCTTGGAACAGTGTTTCTGGAGGGTCCCTGGAACGGCCAGAACTGAAGGATCCTCTCCAGGTTCTTCAATATCAGCGTAGGAGCAGGTCTGTGGATAGCCCCCACTCTGCTGGAGAGCTCATGTGCTTGGCAGAAGGGAGTCCCATAGGGGAGGCAGACTGCTGTGCACGACCCTGCTGAGTGCCATCAGTGATGAGGAGTAGCCGAAGCTCCTCTCAAGGGAGGACGGTGGTCTTCTGTGCTACTCTCATCCTAGTCAGGGCTGTGCTGGTGCCACCCAGCCAGCATGGCCAGGTGCCTGTCCTGCAGCCCCAGCCTGTGCCTAGAGTTAAGCCACCTCAGTGCCTAGGCAGTTGCTATCAGCGTCCACATCACTGGCAGAGGTCCTGCATTCCTTGGGAGGCTGGAGGTGTTGCTCTCTGCTCAACGGGGCCTTCTCCCCAGGGGGCAGGGTCCCACAGCCCTGAACCTTGCCCCGAGCCCGGAGCGCTCCTAATGGGGAGGCCAAGAGGATGATGAGGGCTGCTGAAAGCACTAAGGCAAGGAGGACAGTGACAGTGACAAAGTGGGGCCAGTAGGACCGCTGGGCAGCCAGGGCGGTCCCACCACTGACCCTGGTCAACGGGACCTCCACGTGCTCCCGGGGTATGCCTGCCAGTTCAGGATCCAGGGCCAGGGGCTGGTCCTGGCTGTCTACCCAATAGGAGACCACAGGGTATGAGAAGCCATTCTCAGTGGCCCAGCACTGGTAGAGACCCCCAACCCCATCCTGCAGTATCAGCAAGAGAGAGCCATTGTAGATCGTGGAAGAGGCTTCTGGGACTGCAGCTGGGCCATGACTCCAATAGTAAGAGGCCAAGGCTGACAGGTGGGGACAGGGGAGCTCCAGGATGGAGCTGGGGACAGCCAGGACTTCTTTAACTGTAGGAGAAGGAAAGGAGCAAAAGGGTTAAATGAGGGGCGAAGGACAAAGACAGGAGAGAATCGCTAACCTATCTTTGGACCCCAACCCTTTTTTTTTTTTTTTTTTTAATTGAGGCAGGGTCTGGCTCTATTGCCCAGGCTGGAGTGCAGTGGCATGATCTCAGCTCACTGCAACTTCTGCCTCCTGGACTCAAGCCATCTTTCCACCCCAGCCTCCCAAGTAGCTGGTACTATAGGCATGTGTCTCCATGCCTGGTTAATTTTTGTATTTTTTGTAGAGATGGGGTTTTATCATGCTGGCCAGGCTGATCTCAAACTCATGAGCTCAAGTGATGGTAGAAGGGAGTCCCGCCTCAGCCGACCAAAGTACTGGGATTACAGGAGTGAGCCACTAAGCTTGGCCTGGACCCCAGCATTTTTTTTTTTTTTTTTTTTTTAAGATGGGGTTTCATCATGTTGGTCAGGTTGGTCTTGAACTCCCAACCTCAGGTGATCCGCCCACCTTGGCCTCCAAAGTGCTTGGATTACAGGCGTGAGCCACCATGCCTGGCCTCCCAGCTTTTATCTCTAACTTCCATACTCAAATTTCACCCCTTCTTAATCTCCAGTCTGGACCCCAAACTAAGCCCTAGTCCATCTAACTCCAACTCTGACACCAAAAGCAACTGCAACCTCAATCCTGAATCCCAGCTTGGCCTCTAGCTAGAGTTCCTATCCCTCTTCCCTATAGCCAGGACCCAAATCTATCCCAACTCAGGTGTTCAGATCTCAAGCCAGGCAGGTGCTGGGGGAGGAAACCGGAGCAGGAATGCCCACCCCTGCCCAAAAGTCTTCCAGCGCTTCTGTACCTCCCCTGGTCCCACACTCACTGATTTGTGGGCGGCTCTGAGGCCGGAGGCTCCTGCCCATAGGGCCACTGGCACATGCCCACCCTGGGTTCCCGTGCTCCATGTCCTGCTTCCAGGAATTCCTAAGAGGGCAGAGAAAGCAGAAATTATCCCTCGAAAGAGCTGAACGTGGGAAGAGGAAGGAGGAAGGGAGGAAGTGCAGTAGGGAAGCAGGTAGGCCGGGGGAGACTAGGAACTGAGAGGGGAGGAATCCAGGATGGCCAAGGCAGCTTCAAAACTGCCTGGCCAAATTCCATCCCTGGAGGAACCCACTGCGGGATAGGAGGACTCTAGGAGTGAATGTGTCAGCAGCCTCTGGAGAGAGGAAGAACAGTAGCAGAAACTGGTGAAGAAGGGTCCTGGCTGGCCACTGTCAGCCAGCATCCAGGACTGGCACTCACAGGTTGGGGGCAGACAGGAGGCAACAGGTTCGGGACTCAGGGTCCCAGGCACAGTGGGGGTCCCGGGCAAGGACACAGTCCACACAGCTCTCATAGACACTACAGTTGGCTCGGGGCACCCTCCAGACACCTCCTGAGAAGCCCACAAATACTGCACCCTGGAGGAGAGATGGAGATTATAAGGGAGCCCCAGCCACGTCTGGCAAAGTCCCAGCACCCTGGTGCAGGCCAGGGAGCCAGTCCAACAGGCCCCCGAGGCCAGCCCCACTGGAAAGCCACTTGATGGTCAGGTCCCTTCTTCCCACCTGGGTGGGGGCCAGCTGCAGGTTGCGAACAGGTTCAGGGTCAGGGAACAGCTGAATCTCTTCCACCAGATGAGCACTGCTGTCCCCACTCACCACAGCCTTGTGGAGGGACCCCGTGGCTATGGGGAGACAGAGAGAGTGGAAGTCATCTCACCTCATCCACAGATCCCTTCCCAACTTCACATGGCCTCCCCAGCTGTAAGAATGCTCCTTCTAAGGGTGACGTGTACTGGGCACTGGTCAGCCAGACCATTCACCTTCCTCTGTGCCATGGAGGTGGCAGTCTCACACATGGTTAAAATCCCTTGGACCCCTGTCCTTCCTTCGCAACTCCCTGACAAAACTTTGTCCCTGGAGAAACCCAGTTGTCTATTTCTCCACAGGCATGAAGCAGTGGGCAGCTGGGAGAAAATCACATCACAGGCTGGCCCGAAGGTAGTGAGTAATCTCGATTGTTCACAGTCAGTTACAGAAATCACATCACCAGCCTCCTTCACTTCCATCAAGCACCTCAGTGAGGTCTACCTGACTACCCTTTAACAGGAGCAATCTCCCCACCTGGCATTCCTGATTCCCCGCATGCACCTCTACTTGACTCAAATCTCGTGATGTCATGTCATTTACTTATTCAGGATGCTATTGTCTGTCTCCACCCACTCCATAAAGACTGAGATTTTTGACTGTTTTGTTCTCTGCTGTATACCCAATACGTGCACAGCTGATAACAGCGACTAGTAATATGGCCTGAAGGAATGAATGAACTTGGCAGGTGTCTTCCACTGACCTTCAGGGTTATCCTCCTCAGCCAGGCCCTTCATACACTGGGCAGTCTTACTGCATTCCACACTGACTGTCTCTCCCTCTTTCAACAATGGCTATTTTTTGTTTTAGGCAGAGTTTCATTCTTATTGCCCAGGCTGGAGGGCAGTGGCACCATCTTGGCTCACTGCAACCTCCACCTCCTGGGTTCAAGTGATTCTCTTGCCTCAGCCTCCCGAGGTGCTAGGATTACAGGTGTGCGCCACCACACCCAGCTAATGTTTTTATATTTTTAGTAGAGATGGGGTTTCACCGTGTTGGTCAGGCTGGTCTCAAACTCCTGACCTCAGGTGATCTGCCTGCCTCAGCCTCCCAAAGTGCTGGGATTACAGGTGTGAGCCACTGCGCCCGGCCCACGATGGCTATTTGAGACTACCCCTCTCTCCTCAAACCTCCCAGCTTTCCTGCCCCCTCACTCCAAGCTCATGACCTTGTGTCCTCATCCTTTATAGAGAATACAAAAGCCTTCAGATAAGAGCTCCCTTGGCTTCTAGTCCCCCCAGCCTACACACCCACCAAGTCACGCCCTGCTGCTACAACTTCACTCCCAGCCCAGCTCAGGCGCTGTCCCTCCACCACCCACAGCTGCCCAGATCTATGTGTGTCCTTGTCTCTGGCTCTCCACAACTTTACCTGCCACTTATCCTTTCTATGCATCTCTTCACCATCCCCTGGTCTACTAGATGCTTAGTCCTTTCTAAGTAAGAGGCCAAGGGGGCAAGGGTGCTGGGGGCAAAGAGGGGAAAACAAGAACCCCGGGGGCAAGGAGGGGAAAAAGTCAAAACCAAGAACCCTGGCTGGGCCCCACTCCCTGCTCAGTTACCACCTCCTTCCTCTCTCCCTTCTCAGCCAAGCTTCCTGCAGGAGTGATCTCTACACGTGCGGTTTCCAGCTCCCTCCACCCACTCACCTTTCATTCTTCTAACATACCTTCCCCCATAAGGCACACAGCTCTTGATAAGGCCACCAAAGACCTCCCTGTCTGCCTCCCCCACCACACAAAGCTCAGAAGGGGTAGGGAGTATATTGTTTTGCTCCTCTGCTGTATTTTCAGAGCCTAGCGGAATGCCAGGAACATAGCAGGTGCTCAGTAAACAGTTGTTGAATGAATAAGTGAATGAACTCAAGAGTTTCCCTCCCCAACCTAGGGGTAGCCCCTGCTCTAGTCTTCTGAGGGATGTCCCGGCACTCTTTACTCACTGGTGCCCAGGTACATGACAAGATGGCTGTGCCCATCAAGGTCTTGGGCTGTCTCCACTGCAAGCCGTGTATACTCCACGCCAGACTTCACCAGCAGGGGCGTCCCCACCACCTGCTCATCCATCAGGAAATGGTCCTTCATGAAGGTCAAGGCCTTATCGGAAGAGGGGCCCACTGAGCACTAAAGGAGGAGGGAGGAAGATCAGGCTGGTTTCCCCGTTCCCTCAGCTCACCCTCCCCACCACACCTGCTCTCCTCCTTCGCCCCCTCCTCCATGGCAGTCCTTAGCTCAGGGTGGTGGAAAAGCTTCGACTCTGGAGCTGCCTGGCTGTGCGTCCCAGCCTCTGCATGCTTGAGGGTCCTCAGCTGTGAACTGGGGACCTTCCCCCTAGGCTCACCGGGAAAATGAAATGCACTAATACATGAAAAATAATTCACACAGAGCTTGGCATGCAGCAAGCACTCAGCAAATGTTAACTGTCTGCTTCTCCTTAGCACCTCCAGCAAGGGGGCCTGGTAGCTAGCAGGAAGCAGGACAAAGGATCCTTACAGGCAAGGACGAAGTTTTATGGCCGGGTACAATGGCTCACACCTGTAATCCCAGCACTTTAGGAGGCCTAGGCAGGCGGATCACCTGAGGTCAGAAGTTTGAGAGCAGCCTGGCCAACACAGTGAAACCCCATCTCTACCAAAAATACAAAAATTAGCCGAGCATGGTGGCAAGCCTGTAATCCCAGCTACTCAGGAGGCTGAGGCAGGAGAATCACATGAACCCAGGAGGCAGAGGTTGCAGTGAGCCAAGATTGTACCACTGCACTCCAGCCCAGGCAACAGAGAGACTCTGTCTCAAAAAACAAAAATACAGCCCGGGCGCAATGGCTTATGCCTGTAATCCCAGCACTTTGGGAGGGTGAGGTAGGTGGATCATGAGGTCAGGAGTTCGAGACCAGCCTGGCCAACACAGTGAAATCCTGTCTCTATTAAAAATACAAAAATTAGCTGGGTGTGGTGGCAAGCGCCTGTATTCCCTGCTACTTGGGAAGCTGAGGCAGGAGAATTACTTGAACCCGGGAGGCAGAGGTTGCGATGAGCCGAGATTGTGCCAACTGCACTCCAGCCTAGACAACAGAGTGAGACTCCATCTTAAAAAAAAAAGAGAAAATTAGCTGGGCATGGTGGCAGGTGCCTATAATCCCAGCTACTTGGGAGGCTGAGGCAGGAGAATCACTTGAACACAGGAGGTGGAGTTTGCAGTAACCCGAGATTGCGCCACTGCACTCTAGCCTGGGCAAGTGAGTGAAACTGTCTCAAAAAAATTTTTTTTAAAAAGGACCAAGTTTTACTCATGGCTATATTTCCAGGCATAGCACAGGATCTGGCACACAGTTGGTGCTCAATGAATGTTTGCTGAGTCAATGACTGAATGAATGTCACAGAAAGGGGCGGTGTAGCACGGAGCGTTTCTCATCACGGTTTTGCACGAACTTGCTGCATGACTCTGGGAGAATCCCTTCTGCATTCTGAGCCTCCTTTTTCTCACCCATAAAATGAGGGGGTTGGACCAGCTGTTCTCTAAAGGCCCTGCTAATACGAGCATGCTGTGGCTCTGGGACACCTGTGTCCTGATCTTCAGTCAGGATCCTTGCTCTCCAAGAGTACAACTCTGTCACCTATAAGCTGTGTCCTCAGACAAGCTATTTCACCTCTCTGACCTTCAACTTCCTCATCTACAAAGTAAGGTAATAACATCTATATCTCATTTTAATGCAGGAATGAGCACATGCACCTACTCTCATGTCCTCCCACAGGGTTTTTTGTTTGGTTTTTGTTTTTACAAATAGAGACAGGTTCTTGCTATGTTGCCCAGGCTGGTCTCAAAATTCCTGGCCTCAAGAGAATCTCTTACCTTGGCCTCCCAAAATGCTAAGATAACAGGTCAAAGGGGTTTAAAATTTTTTTTTTTTAATTGTTTTTTGATCCGGGCGCGGTGGCTCACGCCTGTAATCCCAGCTCTTTGGGAGGCCGAGGCGGGTGGATCATGAAGTCAAGAGATCGAGACCATCCTGGTCAACATGGTGAAACCCCGTCTCTACTAAAAATACAAAAAATTAGCTGGGCATGGTGGTGCGTGCCTGTAATCCCAGCTACTCAGGAGGCTGAGGCAGGAGAATTGCCTGAACCCAGAAGGCGGAGGTTGTGGTGAGCCAAGATCGCGCCATTACACTCCAACCTGGGTAACAAGAATGAAACTCCGTCTCAAAAAAAAAAAAAAAAATGTTTTTTGAAACAGGGTCTCCATCACTCAGTGCAGTGGCATGATCTTGGTTCACTGCAGCCTTGACCTCCTGGGCTTAAGCGATTCTCTTACCTTAGCCACCTGAGAAGCTGGAACCACAGGTGTGTACCACCATGCCTGGCTAAATTTTTTTTTTTGAGACAGAGTCTTTCTCTGTTGCCCAGGCTGGAGTGCAATGGCACAATCTCGGCTCACTGCAACCTCTGCCTGGAGAATCAAGTGATTCTTCTGCCTCAGCCTCCCAAGTAGCTGGAATTACAGGTGTGAGCCACCATGCCCAGCTAAGTTTTGTATTTTTAGTAAAGACAAGGTTTCACCAAGTTGGCCAAGGTTGTCTCGAACTCCTGACCTCATTTTGCTCCCTTGTATATTCCCTGTTCAGAATAGTAGCATGTGTCCTCAAAAAATATTTGCTGAATAAAAAGAAGATAGGACCGGGCACAGTGGGCCACACCTGTAATCCCAGCACTTTAGGAGGCTAAAGCGGGTGTCTTGTTTGAGCTCAGGAGTTTCACATAGTGAAACCCAGTCTCTACTAAAAATACGAAAAAAGGCCGGCCACAGTGGCTGATGCCTGTAATCCCAGCACTTTGGGAGGCCAAGGTGGGTAGATCACCTGAGGTCAGGAGTTTGAGACCAGCTGCGGTAACACAGTGAAACCCCGTCTCTATGAAAAATACAAAAATTAGCTGGGCATGGTGGTGCGCGCCTGTAGTCCCAGCTGCTTGGGAGGCTGAGATAGGAAAATCGCTTGAACCAGGGAGGCGGAGGTTGCTGTGAGCCAGCCGAGATCAAGCCACTGCATTCCAGCATAAGAGAGACATGAGGAATAACACAGTGAGACTCTGTCTCAAAAAAAACAAAATTAGGCAGGCATAGTGGTGCACAACTGTAGTCCCAGCTACTCTGGAGGCTGAGGTGGGAGAATCACTAGAACGCAGGAGGGGGAGGTTGCAGCACTGCTCCAGCCTGGGTTAAGAGTGAGACTCTGAGGCCGGGCGCGGTGGCTCACGCCTATAATCCCAGCACTTTGGGAGGCCGAGGCGGGTGGATCACGAGGTCAAGAGATCGAGACCATCCTGGTCAACATGGTGAAACCCCGTCTCTACTAAAACTACAAAACATTAGCTGGGCATGGTGGCACGTGCCTGTAGTCCCAGCTACTCAGGAGGCTGAGGCAGGAGAATTGCCTGAACCCAGGAGCGGAGGTTGCGGTGAGCCGAGATCGCGCCATTGCACTCCAGCCTGGGTAACAAGAGCAAAACTCCATCTCAAAAAAAAAAGAGTGAGACTCTGTCTCTAAAAAAAAAGAAGAAGATAAAAAAAAGAGAACTAACTTCCAGGCTGAAGTGGCCCATTGAGCAACCAGCACAAAAAATGAATAGGGTTCCATCAAACACAACACCATGAAATTTCAGAACACAAGGACAAAGAAAAAGTACCAGAAGATTCCAGTGTGGGCTCCTGGGCACACTGCCTACAGGGTAGCCCTGCTCCACATGGAGCAGTATTTAAAAAAAAAAAAAAATTCCGGGTGCGGGGGCTTATGCCTGTAATCCCAGCACTTTGGGAGGCTGAGGCGGGCGGATCACCTGAGGTTGGGAGTTCGAGACCAGCCTGACCAACATGGTGAAACCCCATCTTAAAAAAAAAAAGATTCCAGTGAAATAAAAACAGGTACATTCAGAGGGCTAGGGATCAGAATAACTTTGGACTTCTCAACAGCAGCTCTGGAACCTAGAGGGTAATAGAGCAAGGCCTTCAAAGTTTGAAAGTAACGTATATCTATTCTAGAATTACGTGTACCTAGCCAAACTATCAAATGGGAAAGTAGAATACATTTTCAGACACTCAAGGTCTTAAAATTTTTTACCCGCCATGTATCCTTTTCCAGGAATCTACAAAGGATAACCTCCACTAAATAAGATACTTAAAAAGAAAAGAGAAGAAAAAAGAGGAAGCCATGGGATGCAAGAAGCACGAGGTCTGTCACAGGAAAGAGGCAAAGGGAATCCCCAGGATGATGAGGAAGGGGGATTCCAGGATGGCATCTGTGCTCGGGGAGTAGAGGGCACCAGTCTAGACTGCAGCGGGCAGGAAGGCTCTCCAGGAAGATGAAACTGTTGGAAAAGCTAATAGGTCTGTCTTCAGAAGAAATGCAGATAATTTAGGAGGAGTTTGGGGTTGAATTAAAGATAAAAGTTTAGGCCAGGAGCGGTGTAATCCCAGCACTTTGGGAGGCCGAGATGGGAGATCGCTTGAGGTCAGGAGTTCAAGACCAGCCTGGCCAAAATGGTGAAACCCCATCTCTACTAAAATTACAGAAATTAGCTGGGTGTGGTAGTGCACACCTATAATTCCAGATATGCCAGAGGCTGAGGCAGGAGAATCACTTGAACCCAGGAGGTGGAGTTTGTAGTGTGCCAAGATTGCGCCATTGCATTCCAGCTTGGACGACAGAGTGAGACTCTGTTTCAAAAATAAATAAATAAATAAATAAAAGATAGGAGCTTAGAAAACAAAGCAAGCAAAAAGTCAAGATAATTACTAACCCCACGGAAAACAAAACTATGCAAAAAGCTAGCTGTGAATTAGAAGAGTCATAATATAAATATTGATCCAACCAAAATTACTAGAAAACTACGTTGGGAGATTGGGGGTGGTTGTAGTTACTGTATGTTGGTCCAAGTCAGCTTTTGTGGAAGAGGGTTAGAAAGCCCGATTTGCATTGTTTGCTGATTTCTGTGGCGTATACTTCCAGTATGGCTAATTTCAAGTTACCAATGTCATATCACTGAACATGCATTTGGAAAAAGATATGCAATAACAGTTCTTGCTAGCTGCTGCAACCCAGCTCTAGCACACCATTGGGTGGAGGTGGGGGTTGAGGCACGCAGTTAAATCCTCACCTTCTAGAATGGAAAGTCAGCAGATACTATCAGAAACTGAAACATCAAGACGTAGCAATAAAAGCACATTACTTAGAGATTTTGAGATAAATATGAAAATAACCAGCTAAAAAGAGTTGAATACAGTTGCAGAGAAGGGGAGGATGGGAAATATGACTGTTTTTTGTGAACAACTCTGTAGATCTATTTGATTCTTCAAATCATGTGCATATAACAGCTCTTATTTTGTTTTCTTTTGTAGAGATGGGGGTCTTACCATATTGCCCAGGCTGTGATTTTTCTTCTTTTTTTTTTTTTAATTTTAAAACTTTTTGAGAGACAGCATCTTGCTGTGGTCACCCAGGCTGGAGTACATTCTCGTGATCACAGCTCACTGCAGCCTTGAGCTCCCAGGCTCAAGTGATCCTCCCAACTCAGCCTCTTGAGTAGCTGACTACAGGCACATGCCACCATGCCCAGGTAAATTTTTTTTGGTAGAGATAGAGTCTTACAATGTTGCCCAGGCTGGTCTCAAACTCCTAGCCTCAAGTGAACTTCCTATCTCAGCCTTCCAAAGTCCTGGGATTATAGGCATGAGCTACCATGCCTGGCCTCTGGTTTTTTTTTTTTTTTTGAGACTGAGTCTCACCCTATCCCCCAGGCTGAGACTGGAGTGCAGTGGTGCGATTTCTGCTCACTGCAACCTCCGCCTCCCAGGTTCAAGAGATTCTCCTGCTTCAGCCTCCCAGTAGCTGGAATTACAGGCGTGTGCCACCATGTTCAGCTAATTTCTGTATTTTCAGTAGAGATGGGGTTTCACCATGTTGGCCAGGCTGGTCTCGAACTCCCTACTTTAAGTGCTCCACCTGCCTCGGCCTCCCAAAGTGCTGGGATTACAGATGTGAGCCACCACGCCTGGCCTGGCCTCTGATTTTTAAAAAAAGTTAAATAGTAAATGCAGGTGGCAATGCCTGAGACAGTGCTTGGCACACAGCCCATTGTGCTAGACACGTGGACTATAGGCAGCTGTACCAGGTGTATGTCTAGGCAGACAAGACTGGCGGGGTGGGGAGCACTAACATTTATTGGGCATTTACTATGCCATGATAGGTGCTTTTTCAGGCACATTGTGTGTTTGGACTGTGCTCAGTATAGGGGGTAATACTCACACTGCCCGGCCGGGGGTTGGTCTCAGGGCCCCTGTAAGTAGTCCAGCGTGAAGTTTCTTTGTTCAACTCTTTGTATTTCCCCTTAAAGACACGTTCAATGTCCATGAGAGAGAAGGCACAAACTGCAGAGCTCCTGGTCCCGCCAACCTGCCTAGAGACAGTCAGGGGGAACATTGTCTCTAGTCTCTGCCATGCCAGGCAGCTCTCTCTCCAGCCCTGGCCCACCCTCAGTGAAAAAGCCCAGCAGGCAAGAGTGTGGAGAGCTGGGCCAAACTCCAGCTACCCCTCCTTCCCCTCGCTGTGTGATAAGGGCCAAGGGAGCCCCATAGAATTCCCTGACTCTGGCCAAGGGCCTGGCTCTAGGCCCATCTAGGGATCTGTAGTCTGATTATCCTTAATGAGAATTAATTGCGGCTCAGGCCCTGGGGTGGCCCCTGCCTGTCCTTCCTAGACTGGGCTGCACCTATGGGAGGGGCAGTGTAACCGGCTCTAGCCTGGCTCCACACAAAGCTCTCTTCCTTTGAGTCTCTTGGATCCCTGGTCCTCAGAGAACTGACCAATGCCTGACTACCAGACTGTTTTTAATTCCTCAGCCTGGACTGTGGAGACAGGAGGTCTGTTTATCTTGCTCTCTTCAACCTGACTATTGTATATACCAGGCTCTCAGCTCTGGATCCTGTGGACACTAGACCCCACTTACCCCAAATACCTCCGGGACCTGATACATTGTCAGCAGGTACCTAAACACCGTGGTGCCAGACCACGGCTGGGGCACCTTGGACAAATTGGTTAACCTTTCTCAAACTTCGAGCAATGGCTTTATTTTTATCTTATGATACAGATGGTGTTTCTCTGCTCTGGCCATTAGGGAGTACAGGGAGGCAGAGAATTGCTTGAACCCGGGAGGCCGAGGTTGCAGTGAGCTGAGATGGTGCCACTGCACTTCAGCCTGAGTGATGTAGCCAGACTCGTCTCAGAAAAAGAAAGGAAGTGTAGAGCTAAATTTGTGGCTAGCAGCCAGGTGCGGTCCCAGCACTTTGGGAGGCCCAGGTGGGCCGATCACGAGGTCAGGAGTTTGAGACCAACCTGACCAACATGGTGAAACCCCATCTCTACTAAAAATACAAAAAAGTAGCTGGGTGTGGTGGCGGGTGCCTGTAATCCTAGCTACTCCAGAGGCTGAAGCAGAAGAATCGTTTGAACCCAGGAGGTAAAGGTTGTAGTGAGCTGAGATAGCACCACTGCACTCCAGCGTGGCAACAGAGCGAGACTGTCCCCCCAAAAAAAAAAAAAAAATTTGTGGCTGGCATCCAGGGATTATACTGCATCTTATGACAAGCACTTCTTTCTTTTTTTTTATTGAGACAGAGTCTCTGTCTGTCGCCAGGCTGGAGTGCAGTAGCACCATCTTGGCTTACTGCAACCTCCACGTCCTGGGTTCAAGTGATTCTCCTGCTTCAGCCTCCCGTGTAGCTGGGATTAACAGGGGTGCACCACCACAACCAACTAATTTTTGTATTTTTAGTAGAGAAGGGGTTTCACCATTTTGTCTAAGATGTTCTCAATCTCTTGACCTCATGATTCGCCCACCTCAGCCTCCCAAAGTGCTGGAATTACAGGCGTGAACCACCACGCCCGGCCATGTCCTAGCTTTTCATACTCTTCCTTGATTCCCATTTCTTCATCTATTTTATTGATTTTAATATTTGCTTTTTGCAAAATGCTTCCTACCCCTTTTGGAACTAGGCAGAATATAAACTAGTCAGAATCTCTCTGAGCCTTATTTTTCCCATCTACAAAAAGGGCATGAGTCAAATTCCTGAGGGATGGCGAAGGTTTAATGCCTTCCTATGTGAAAGTGCTGAATAGGCGCTGGCTCATGTCAACTCCTGCCTCCGCTCACAGCTGGGGCCTTACTGGCATCAGGTCCCGTGTCCAGCCCCCATGGTCCGGCCCTGCTGCTCACCACTGGGAGGTGAAGACTGCGTAGATGTGGGGAGCTGTGGGAGAATCCGCGGGCAGCAGGACCGCGTGGCGGATGACGTTGAAGGGCAGCTGCCCCGGCTGGGTGCAGAGCAGCTGGGCCTTCAGGAAGGTGGTCCACTTCTTCTGCAGCAGCTTTTCGCCTCCCACGTCGTTCTGGGAGCACAGGGGGAGTCAGAGAGCGCCCCAAGCCCCGCGAGTCCCCGCCCCTCCCCCGCTCCCCGCTCTCATTGGGCGCGCAACACTCAGTCCCACCCCTGCCATCTCCCCATTGGCTCTCCTCCAGTTAGCCCCGCCTCCCGCCCTGGCTGCCTACCTTGCAGACTCGAGCCACCCGGGATGTGTGGAGCCTCTCAAAGAAGTCAAACTCGCTGGCTGTCTCCTCGAAGAAGAAGTAGACGAACTGGGTCGAAGGGATGGCTGCCACGAAGGAGGCGTCCGCTGAGGGGGAGAGGCAGATGGGTTTAGGGACTGAGCCCCTAGATGCCCTGGGTTTGCCTGGGTGAAAACCCTTGGGTTGGCCTGGAGGTCAGGACACAGGCTTCCTCGGGTCCCACAGCTTGTCGAGGGGTAGCGATGGGGGGGTGGGATGACTGGTACTTCTTTTTTTTTTTTTTTTTTAATAAATCCACTACAGGAGACTGGTACTTCTTTAATGTATTTACATAAGACGAAAGCTTCAAGAGGATCGAAGCTTGGTCTTCTCTGCTATGTATCCCCTGAGCCTAACAGTAATGCACACATTGTACCCTCCATAAATGAGAGTTGAATGAATTAGCAATTCGCAGTGCCAGGTCTCCGGGACTCAGGAAAGGGGCCAGCGGGGGTCAGGTCCTTACGATGCAGCCAGCGGAGGAAGGTGTCGGTCTTGAGGACAGGCTGGGATCCCAGTGTGCGCATCAGGATGGGCTCACTGCCCAGGAAGTTGTTCATGGTGCCAGAATAGAGCGTCCCATCTAGAGTTGGGGAGAGAAGAGAGAACTGATGGGCTGAAGGGCTCCTCTGCCCTCCACAGACCTGCCTCTGAATGGGGTTGGCATCCATATCAGTCTCGGGGGCGGGGGGCCTGCATCAGTTCTGCACCTTCCTGGGGAGCCCCAAAGCACAGATCCGACCCCTCACCAAGGACCACTCTTAGCTTCCTCTTGCCACAGGAAATGGCCATCCTGTGTGGCTCTCCGTGTTTGGGCACTTTTTCAGCCTTTCTGTGGCTACTCACTCACATACCTAGCTGAATCACTGGCCAAGTAGAAGAGCTTATTGATCCTGGAAGGTGACTGTGTTTTCCCCTTCCACAGCTTGAGTCCTACCCTTCTCTCCCTGGAATGCCTTTCCCGCCATCTGTCTACCTATTTTTCAAGGTCCTGCTGAAAAGCCGGCCATCTCCTCCAGGAAGCCAGGTGGGAAGTCTGTAATAGGTGGTGTCCAGTAGTGCGTAGAGACATGGCTTCGCTCTCTTGTTTTTTTTTCAAGACAGGGTCCTGCTCACATCCAGGCTGGAGTGCAATGATGCCATCACAGCTCACCATAACCTTGACCTTCTCAAGTGATCCTCCCACCTTAGCCCCCCAAGTAGCTGGGATCGCAGGCACTTGTACGGCTAATTTTGTTGTTGCAGTTTTTGTTTTTTTAGTAGAGACGAGGTCTCACTATGCTGTGTTGCCCAAGCTGATCTCAAACATCTGGTCTCAAGTGATCCACCTGCCTCAGCCTCCTAAAGTGCTGAGATTTCAGGTGTGAGCTACTGCACCCAGCCTAATTTCTTGTTTATAATTCCTATACTACCCAGTACAATGCCTCGTGCACCAGAGGAAGTGTTCACATATCCCAGACCCTCGTGCTTCTGTGTCCCTCCACATGCATCTCTCTCCACCTCCTTTGTGGCAATTGCAGCAGGAGCTCATGGCTGGGGTGCCTAATTCTCCCTCTGATCTTGTGCTCTGGGGCTTCTGGCTTCCCTCTTTCTCTTTCCCCTGCCTTTCTTGTTTTGTTTTGTTTTGTTTTGAGACGGAATCTTGCTTTGTTTCCCAGGCTGGAGTGCAGTGGTGAGGTCTCTGCTCACTGCAACCTCCACCTCCTGGGTTCAAGTGATTCTTGCGCCTCAGCCTCCTGAGTAGCTGGGACAACAGGTGCGCGCCACCACACCTGGTTAATTTTTGTATTTTTAGTAGAGATGGGGTTTCACCATGTTGACCAGGCTGGTCTCAAACTCCTGCACTTACATGATCCACTCACCTCGGCTTCCCAAACTACTAGGATTATAGGCGTGAGCCACTGAGGCCTTTTTTTTTTTTTTTTTTTTTAAAGATGATCTCACTGTGTTACCCAGGCTAGACTCAAACCCCTGAGTTCAAGTAATCCTTCCACCTCAGCTTCCAGATGACTGGGACCATAGGCACGCATCACCATACCCAGCTTCCCCTGCCTTTTGGAAAGCTCTGTAATATTCCGTATTTCACAGAGTGACTGGAGAAAGCAGATGTTGGGACGAACTGGGAAACCTGATACTCACCCACCAAGACAGCTGTATGCTTGTGAGCGGGGTCAAAAGGGCTTTGGCCTTTTCCCTCTGTGACCTTGTCCTCCAAGATGGGCAACAGGTAAGAATCCTGAAGTTCCTAAATGGGGAAAGAGGCTGGGGGGCCAGAACGCCAAGGTCTCACATCTGGGAAATGAGGGGCTTGAGGAAGGAAAGGAATGGGACATAGAGGGAAATTGGTCTGGGGCCAGGACGTTCATGAGTGTCCTGCATCTGGAAGGGCAGAGTTTTCCAGAGCTGCAGAGGAAAGGTGGGGATTGATATGAGACGAGGTGTTTGGGGACTAAGTGTTGGACCCCAGAGAACTCACAATGAAGGTACAAGCAGGGCTGAAGGCGAAGGTGCCGCAGGTGTAGAGATGGGTTGCATTGTAAGAAACCAGGACACGGATGAAGTTGAAACACTGTGTCTGAGGGAGACAGAGAATTCAGGTCTCCAGTCCACTTGCCTGAAATTTCTGGGCCCCCAGAGGCTGCCCCCTCACTTCCTAGTGAGGAGAAAGGCTGGGTAATGCAGGGGGAGTCCCTGTATCTCTCTGTAGAACAGAATCCAGGAGATAACCATGCAAACAAGCACCCTTCACTGCCGCTCAACCTGAGGTCATCCAGGGATGGTCTAGGGATGCCAGGGCTCTCTACCCCGAGCCCCCACTCCCCCATCTCCACTTACCTCATTGTTCTTCTTCTTAAAGGCACATTCACTCTTCTTTCTGTCACTGGCGGGCCATGGTATCTGAAAGTGGGGAGTTGGGAGGGTGAGATTTAAAGGAATAAGGTCTTCCATTGTAGATGTGACCTGCCTCCCTTCTCTACTCTAACGTGAAATCACCAGCAGGCATGGTCGTTAGTGACATGCCGATGGACAGGAATAACACCAGTTTGTGACGATGGCTATTACTCGGATGATACTGATATCAGACACAGCTCCATGGTTGAACACAGCCTAAGGAAACAGACAGACCCAAGTTTAAATCTAGACTTGGCCATTTCCTGACTGAGAGATTGTGGTCAATTTCATAGGCTGCTGGTAGTAGACACAACCAGGTGCATATACAAAACACCTAACACGAGGCATGCTATACATGGCAGCAGTTGTAAAACCACACATTTCCTGGGGGAATTGTTTAAAATGTTGGTTCCTGGGTCACACCTTAGAGAATCTGCTTTTTTTTTTTTTTTTGAGACGGAGTTTCGCTCTTGTTGCCCAGGCTGGAGTGCAATGGTGTGATCTCAGCTCACCGCAACCTCCGCCTCCTGGGTTCAAGCAATTCTCCTGCTTCAGCCTCCTGAGTAGCTGGGACTACAGGCACCTACCACCATGCCTGGCTAATTTTTGAATTTTTAGTAGAGATGGGGTTTCACTATGTTGGCCAGGCTGGTCTTGAACTCCCGACCTCGTGATCTGCCCGCCTTGTCCTCCCAAAGTGCTGGGATTACAGGCGTGAGCCACCGTGCCTGGCCTGAGAATCTGTGTTTTTAACCAGCATCTCGTGTATGCAGGTGATCAGCAGACCACACATCAGGACACAAGAACCATGGAGGTGGTCGGTATATTGCTAGCGCCGTCTCTCCCTTCCTTCCTTCCTTCCTCACATTGTTCCCATTATTACTTTTTTTAATAGAGATGGGGTTTCACCATATTGGTCAGGCTGGTCTCGAACTCCTGATCTCAGGTGATCCACCCACCTCAGCCTCCCAAAGTGTTGGGATTTCAGGCGTGAGCAACCGCACCCGGCTAAATTGTTTCCATTAGTAGGGTAACTAAGACACAGAAGCATCAGTGATTTCTACTAGTGAGTGGATATCAAATTATTGATATAATTTGAGTCAGTGTTTTTTAGAATATGTCAGTGATTTCCATAGCAATCATTTTTGCAATCAATATTATTCAATCGGCCAGGTGCAGTGGCTCACACCTGTAATCCCAGCACTTTGGGAGGACGAGGCGGGCAGATTACGAAGTCAGGAGATTGACACCATCCTGGCTAACATGGTAAAACCCCATCTCTACTAAAAATACAAAAAATTAGCTGGGCATGGTGGCATGTGCCTGTAGTCTCAGCTACTTGGGAGGCTGAGGCAGGAGAATCACTTGAACCCAGGAGGCAGAGGTTGCAATGAGCCAAGATCACGCCACTGCACTGCAGCCTGAGTGACAGAGTGAGACTCCCTCTCAAAAAAAAAAAAGTGAGGCCACAATAATATTTCCTGTCTGTTATATTGTCAAGATATACATATAAAGAGAATTGCCGATTCCAGATAAGAGCAATTGAGCTGTTATGCATGCATAGGCACCCCAGCCCAGGGCAGCTGCTGACCCCCTCCTCGCTCCCAGCCCACACTCTTTATCCCTGGACTCCTCACCATGTTCTTTAGACTGAGCACCCCTGGATCCTGGATATCCAAGGCCAGAATGGCTTCTCGAGCCCCCACATAGAGAGTATTTCCATCATCACTCAGGAGCAGAGCGTCAAAATCCTGGAGGCCCTTCTGGTGGAAGAAGCTTAGTGCCCTGCGTTCATCTCCTGTTGGAGGTAGTGAGAAGGAGAGAGTGATGAGCAGTTGGTGGGCAGGCAGCTGACTCCTGAGATAAAAGTGGGGGAAGGGGAAGGGTTGCCCGAGAGTGCTCCCCAGGCCTTGGCGACTAGACCCACTCTCTTCCGCCAGCAGCTCCCCCCTTCACCCCACCCCGCCGGCAACCACAAGAGCTTTGTGTGCTGAGCCCACAGTAGAGAGAGGCAGCCAGAGACTGTAATGGGGACAGGAAATAAAGTGAGGCACAGTGGATGCTCTTCCAGGCCTGGGACAGGGAGCGCTGCCGTGGGGAGGACACCTTGGTCCTCACTAGGAGGGGGAGCAGCAGGTAGACAGACAGACAGGAAAGTGTTGGCAGCCGCAAGCAGGAAAGCTACATGCAGACAGGAGGTTGTGTGTTAGAGGGTCGCTCTTGCCACCCACCCAACCACCCCTGCTTTCTTCCTCTTCTGTTAAAGGAAATTCCCACCAGTAGAATCACCATGAACAGAGAGGAAACATTTTTCTTCAGAGATCCATGTGGGCATGCCTGGATGTCACCTGGGCAGGAATGGTGAGCCAGGTGTGGGAGGCTCACCTAGGTCCTCTCCATTACCTTGGCTGGTGGGGTGGGTGGGGGCGTATGTTCCTGTCCCACTGGCGCATCAACAAGGAGGAAGAAGCTCCTCAGATCCTCTCTCATTAGCACTGGCACTGTTGCATTAGTTAGAAGGCTGACTAGCTAATTGATACCTTCGCAGGCTCAGAGGGGAGCAGTTGGAGAATATGGTGCAGTTGCAGGCTGGAAGGGCCGGCCTCAGGAACAAGCATCTCTTGGAGGCCAGGCCTCCCCCAGAGCTGCATAAACCCCTCAGTTACTGAACAGATCACCCTGTATTCATGGTCTGATTGCTCATGTGCTTCCCCCTTGTGACTGTGAACACCTGAGGGCAGGGGCTGAGGTTCATATATGTTTGTATGCCTGGCATCCAACACAGAGGAGGTCTCTCCATCAATGGGCAATATACATTTCCTTTACCAATTGCCCCAGAAAGATGCTAAAGATACAGCCATGCCCAGCCACCTACAAATCCTGTAGCATCTATGATCTATGTTCTTTCCTGAATCTTCTCCCTGGAGGTGAGGGGGCCAGCAGCCTCCACAGTCTCGGTAAGAAACCAGCCAAGCTGTGCTTGTGTGTGTATTCCAGGGCCCATTCTCTGACCGGCCATCCCACGGTCCTGGACATGGTATGGTCCAGCATGATCTATGCGGTTGGCATGGGTGTGGCATGCCGTGGGTCACTGGGTCTACACATGGTCTTCTAGCATGGGCCTTGACTTTGGGGTACCTGGGAGTGTGAAAGCAGTTACGGATTTGAGGTGCCCAGCTTGGTGACAGCAATATTTAAGGAAGAAAAGAAAAATCACCAACTTTGGAGAACTGGAAGAAGCGGTGCCCCTGGCCCCATGCATGACCCCTTGTTTTCCTCAATCTGTGCTTCAAGTGGCTTTTCTTTCCATTTGGACTTCTATCTCTGGCTGTGTCTCTTTCTCTGAAGCCCTCTGTTTCCCCCTGGCATCTCTCTGTGTCTCTGTTTCTCCATGTCCATTTCTCCCCTCCTCTGTTCCTCTCTCCTTCCTCCACCCCCGTCCAGCTCTGCATTGCTATCCCCATACTTCCTGCCGTCGGACACTTACCTGCATAGTATCTGACCCTGGGCGTGGGCCCCTGCCCGCCTCCCCCCGCGGTCGTCGTCGGCAGCAGCAGCTGGAGCAGTTGGAAGAGGAAAAGGCCCAGGAGGCTCCAGGGGTCCAGGCCCAGGGCTGGGAGGGCCATGCTCAGCCACAGGCTGTCACCAGGGAGCTCTGGGGAAACAGGCACCCGGGCACTTTCTGGGTGAGCTGTGCTTACCACATCCCCCCTGGGGACCAATCAGAAAGCCCCGGGCAGCAGAAGTGTGTGTGTGTTGGTGGGGTGTGGGCATTAGGGCAGGGAAGGTTCCCCATCTGGAAGTGCCCTAAGAGAGTCTCACTTTCATCATCCTTCCAGGCCTCAGCCTGTCACCTCATTGTGCCCTCTGGGTAGGAGCCCAGGTGTCCCCCATCCTGCTTCTTCTGCTGTCTTCTCACCAACAGTTCTTGCCTTTTCTTACCTTACTCTCAAGAAGTCTTTCCTGCCTTTCCTCCTTTGCCTTCCCTCTTCTCACAGCCCAAGCCCAAATCGTTGCCTGGCTCTGGGCAGGGGATGTTTTGGGAAGCAGGTTCCCTTACCCAAAATACAAATTCCTCAGACCTTACTCTCCTGTCTCTTTCAGATCTGTTGACACGTTGTGCCTCATACTCAGCGCTGACCCAGGTGGGCAGACCAGGTTTGAGTTGGCCTGCTCTAACCTCCCCCACCAACCCCAGCTGGGCTCAGGGTCTTTGAGACTCAGGCCTGTCTGGCCCGATTCTTCCAGGGAGGCGATGAGAGTCCATCCCACCAAGCTGGCTTTCAGCATTTCCCGGGGAGCAGCCTGGGTGGGGTGGCTGGCCGGCCCCCAGCCTCTGCAGCTCCCCGGCCCTCCTGTCTCTTGTTCCTGTTGTCTGTCTCCCTGGGCCTCTCCACATAATCTTCCCCAAGACCACCCCCCCCAAGCCACCCATCTCACCTCACATACCCTTGAACCAGCCACAGTGGAAAACCTGGTGTCTGGATTCTAGGGCGGGGGTGCCATTCAGGAGAAAGAAGAAGGGGGGTTCCCAGGCCCCAGAGGCATGGGACAGAAAGCTCAGCCTGGCTGGAACGGGAGTGCAGCCCTCCAGGTGCCCATCATGCCAAAGCCAGCACTGGAAGCTCTGGGCCAGGGAAACTGGAATTTCCACCTCTCGAGTTGTGACAGATCCTGGCTTGGGCGGAAGTTGGTGGAATGGGAGGGAATAAAAAGAGGTTCACCCTCCTCACAAGAGACACACCTCTCTCTCCCTCCTCTTGCTCGGTCCATCCAGAAAGTTTAAGAGGCCCTTCTAGGTCATTTCAGCGATTTCCCTGCCTCTCTGTCATGTCACAGCCAGTCTAACCAGGCTAGCAGCGGTTTCTCCTCTTGCTTCAGATTTCGCAGACAGGGGACATGACATATTCCTCTTTTCACTTACCCACAAGGTGGGGTCTCTCCACTGCTACCCACTGGAAAGTCCCTGCAGTGGTCTAACCTTTGAACCTCCCACTCTCAACTGGGCCATAATCTTTTGAAAAAATAAAAGAATTGTATTAGGCTCTTATCTGTGATTTTGCGGAGGAAGTCCCTCTTGTAGTCTAATCTCCGTCACTGTTTGGCATCAGGCCAGTAGGAAGCCCAGAACATTTCCCATCTGAACTCATGCTCACTGACCACGCTTCGGAGGCACCCAACCCCCAAAGGTAGCTGGCTGCTCACCTCTCCCCAAAGGCTCCAGGGGAGCCTCATATGCAGAGTTAATGAGGCATCCAATGCAAGAACTCCATGGCCTACAAAGTGGGTAGGTTCCTGCCCACTCAACACAGTCAGCTGACTGCAGGTTAAAGAGCACAGACATTCCAGGGTTAATCCACCTCTAATAAATAATCCACTTCCATCTGACATGCGCACTCCTCCCTGGCAGGAAGTCCTTCTTGTAGTGTAACTTCCATCCCTCCTGCTACAGCACAGCCAACTCAGGGGATGTTACAGCTCATGCTACTCCTTACAATTCCTCATCTGAGCTACTCAGCCTTCTTTCATCTCTCTCAGTGTCCCCAGGGGTTGGTCTCAGACATAACCCTCCTGACAATCATTTCTGTCAAGACTTGCCTAGGACTCCCCCAGACTCTCCCAGAGACTGGTTGCCAGGGCCCTTCCAGCTTCTTCGAATCAAGAGAAACCCCCATTTACTCAGACCCTACCTTCTGTGTCTCCCCAACCCCCAGCTCAGGTTTGGGAAGCCAGTCTGCCCCTGGGCCTCTCTGCTTAAACAGATTGGCTTATTTGGGTCACTGGGAGGAGCTCTGATACGGGAAGCTGAGAGAGTTCCAGCCCTACACTCCCAGCCTGGTGCCCTATTCCCACCATCCTGGAAGTGGCAGACTCCATGTCCCGCCCCCAGTTCTTCCTCCAGACATCCAGAATTCTCCCAGCTCCAGACATCCTCTTCCCCAGCCCCTCTAGCCAATATGAATAGTTCACACTAGCAGGCTTTGGTCCTCTCAACAATTTTAGCAGCTAGGTACAGCCATAATCCCACTTTACAGATAAAGAAGGGAGGTTACACAGGTAGAAGCCAAGTTAAATTCAGATCGGCCTCATTCAATAGCAAATGTCTTAGCTACACAGACTCTACAGCGTCCTGGTCCCTCAGTCCTCCCTCCTGCCCCCGTCTAGGAAACAGTTCTGAGCCATTTGGATAGAAAAGGCAAGGTTGGGCTGGGAGGGTGGTGAGCTTTATCTATACTAGGTTAAGAAACGAGATCTGTGGGGTGATTTCTGAGGACAACTTTCAACAGGGCAACAGCAGAGCATTAAACCGAGTGTGCCCCTTCTTCTCCTTCTCTTTTATTTTCTTTTCGAGACGGAGTCTTTCTCTGTCACCTGCTGGAATGGAAGGCTGGAGTGCAATGCCACGATCTCGGCTCACTCCAACCTCTGCCTCCCAGGTTCAAGCCAGTCTCCTACTGCCCCAGCCTCCCAGGTAGCTGGTACTACAGACAAGCATGTGCCACCAAGCCTGGCTAATTTTTTTGTATTTTTAATAGAGATGGAATTTCACTATGCTCACCATGCTGGCCAGGCTGGTCTTGAACTCCTGACCTCAAGTGATCTGCCTGCCTCGGCCTCCCAAACTGCTGGGATTACAGATATAAGCCACCGTGCCTGGCTCCAAGCGTGGCCCTTCTGAGCACACTTATTTGGGTCAATAAAGCATTTCAGAGGGAACAGAAACCTCCCTGAAGGAAGGCTGTGAGGTACCACCCCCCTGCCTCTGCAAAGGCCTCCTGGTCAAAAAGAGCCTAATTGGAAGGGCACCTGCCCCCAGCAGTGCACCCCTCACACCAGAGCCTCTGCAGTCAGACCCCAAGCCCCACTGCCGTCTCCCTTGCTTCAGCTGGCAGGGCCCCAGCTAGAGCCGGCTTCACGGGTACAAGACCTGTGCAGCCACAGGAGGCCCGTGCTCAGAAGGACCAAGCTTGCTTTAATGCTCTGCTGTTGCCCTGTTGAAAGTCCTCATATTACTTAAACAAGGGGCTCCATATTTTTATTTTGCACTGGGCCCCCACAATTATATATCAGGTCCTGCACACAGCATCAAAGAAGCTCGGGGCTGACAAGGTACTCAGACATAGCCCTCCTGGCAACCATACAAATGAGGAAACCAAGGCCAAGGAGAGGAAGTACCTTGGCTGGGGTTGGCAGCAGGCAGCAGGTCCGGTAGGGTGATAGTGGGAAGGGGTCAGATGTTCAGGGACCCGCCCACAGGGGCCGTGCTATTTTCATAGAGCCAATCTGAGGGTTCCCCAGGCCATTTCTTTCTTGTTTTTTGAGACAGAGTCTTGCTCTGTCGCCCAGGCTAGAGTGCAGTGGTGCAATCTCAACTCACTGCAACCCTTGCCTTCCTGGTTCAAGCAATTCCCCTGTCTCAGCCACCCCAGTAGCTGGGACTATAGGCACCTGCCACCATGCTCAGCTAATTTTTGTATTTTAAGTAGAGATGGGGTTTCACCATGTTGGTCAGGCTGGTCTCGATCTTCTGACTTCAGGTAATCCACCCACCTTGGCCTCCCAAAGTGCTGGAATCACAAGCCTAAGCCACTGCGCCCCCCCCTCCCCCACCTCTACCAGCCCATTTCTCCACAAGCCCTGGAGCCCAGTCTTGGGTCCTGCCATGACAACACTGAGTTCACCCTCTACCCTGCCATGATCCAGCTCCTCCCCTGCAGCCTCTACGCAGCATCCAGCGGTAGCCCCTTCCTGCCAGGTTTTATTGTGCAGAGGAAAGGTCTAGATGTGGAGGTGGGAGGGGAGATGAAGAGGTTGCTTCCCCCCCCTACTCCATGCTACCTCTGAGCTTCAACCAGCCCCAGGGGCTCAGTCTCTTCTGAGCCCCTGCAGAGCACGGATGCCTCACTAAAGGAGCAGCACCTGGAGCCAGGAGAGAAGCCACTGCTGGCTTCACCAAGGATCTGGCAGGTCCAGTTTCCCCCGCCTCCTTCTCCCTTTCAGCCTCAGGGGCAGCTCACAGAAGAGCCCAGTCCCGGGGAGCATTGCTTGCTGGCTTCCCAGACTTAGCTCCACCTGCCCTGGCCCTGATCTGCCTTCTTGTTATGATCACAAGCAAGTCAAGTCAACTTGTATGTATTGAGTGCCTAGCGTGTGTAGGCACTAGGGACGTCCCCAAGCCTCTACACCCCCAGCGTCCCTCCACCTCTTCCCACCCCCACTGTCTCCCAGCATTTTTGCCTCCCGCCAGCTCTGTCCCTCCTAACCCCTTACCCAGAGCTTCCTAGGTCCCCTCCTCCAGTCTGACTAGCGCTGGAAGGCTGCGCTGAGTATCACACACAATGGCCCGACCCCTCTGTCTGCCCCCTCCTTGGGGCAGAGCCAGCACCAGACAGTGGCCCCGCCCCCTCCCTTCAGAACTGTCTGTCAGTTCTCCCGCTCCCTTACCTGGAGCTTGGGGATGCCGCTGCGTTTCCCTCCCTCTGGAATGCCAGGCTTTCCGGTCTCCCAGTGCCTCAGCCCCTGCCACACCCCCACCCCCATCCTCAACCCCATCCCGCCTCACTGGTCCTCAGTCACCATGGCGACCGCATCTCTAAGTGGGAGGGACTAGAATCTCCCCATATTCTTCCTCCTCCTACCCGTGTCCCACTGCGCCCCACCTTCTGTGGCTCCTGGATTCACACGTGTGGAGGAGGAGGGGCTCCAGATGTGGGCGGAGGTGAAAGGGGGGTACAGTAGCCCCCATCCCCGCTCAGCTCCCTTACCCACCCTCAGCAGGCACCATGATGCAGATGTCCCCAGCTGGGTTAAGGGGGTCAGACGGGGCCAATTCCCCTTTACGGCCAGTTCTTCTGGGTTTCCCTCTTTCCTGGGAACTGTGTATATGCCGGGAGAACACAGCCCGGCCCCATGCAAATTCAGTTTGCCAATGAGGATACGAATGAACCCACAAACATCTGTGCAGATAAGCCAAGGGACAGACTCCGTCAGGAAACCCCAGGAACCCTCTCCTGTCACAGTATCCTGACTTCTGAGGGAGGGGATCCACCGCTGCGTTCAGGTTCTGCCTTTCCTTCCTAAGCTGCCTGAGAAGGTGGCTGCCCCAGAAGCCTTCTCTAGCTAACACACTCCGAGACTAAGAGGGAAAGGCTTGTGCTGGAGGAGGAAGGGTAGGGGGCAGACTTCAGAGGACTTTCCAAGAGTCCAGACTAGATGGGCATAGAGAAAGAAGACTGAGCTGGATTCTTTCCCTTTTGGGGAGGAGCACAGGCAGGCAGAGGTTTGTGTGGTACCTTTCTGCGGGCCGAGCCTGTGCCCTCTCACAGCCCTGATCCTAAACAGCCTTGTTACTAGAGCTCCCTTCTCTCTCCACTGGGCCCTCAGTTCGTTGGTAAAATGAGGAGTTGAGAAAGCCCCTTCAGGCCTGGCGCGGTGGCTCACAGCCTCACTTTGGGAGGCCAAGGCAGGCAGATCACCTGAGCCTGGGAGTTCGAGACCAGCGTGACCAACATAGAAAAGCCCCAACTTTACTAAAAACACAAAATTCCCCAGGCGTGGTGGTGCACGCCTGTAATTGCAGCTACTTGGGAGGCTGAGGCAGGAGAATCGGTAGAACCCTGGAGGTGGAGGTTGCGGTGAGCCGAGATCACGCCATTGCACTCCAGCCTGGGCAACAAGAGAGAAACTCCTTCTCAAAATAAAAAAAAGAAAAAAGGCCCCTTCCAGGCTTTCCTCTCTCAGCTGGCAGGGGCACTAGTAAAAGGCACCATGAGCCTGGGACAAGGACCCTGGGTCCCAGGCCTAGAGGCCTGTAGCCTGCTGTGTGAGCCGGGCAGGGCACTTGCCCTCTCTGCCTCACCTTGGTAAAATAACAGCTTTTCAGCCCACCTGGGAGCAGCGTGGCTCCAGCAGGCTTCACAGTAACTATAAGAGGAAGGAAATGAGCATGCCGGTATTGGCCCCGGGTAGAGGGTTTTATGGACCAAGACTGGTTCTCCTTCAGGTCTGAGTTGGAGTGGTGGTTGAGCATTAGCCTTGGGGTGAGGCAAGAAGGTCATGGCATGCGCTGAAAGCAGAAGTGGACGCTGAGCGGGGCCGCCATGTCCCCACTGCTTCCTGACCCTCCACCTCGCTGCCCCTCTGCACCTTGGCCTCGGGGACT